AGGTTCCAGGCTGGTTTTGGGGCTCCCTGATGAGCTCCTGGACGGATTTTGGTGGGATTTGAGGTTCCAGGCTGGTTTTGGGGCTCCCTGATGAGATCCTGGACAGGTTTTGGTGGGATTTGAGGTCCAGGCTGGTTTTGGGGCTCCCTGATGAGATCCTGGACAGGTTTTGGTGGGTCTGGGGGAAGTTTGGACAGGCTTGGAGAGGGATTTTGGTGGGATTTGAGGTTCCAGGCTGGTTCTGGGGCTCCCCCAGGAGCTCCTGGACGGGTTTTGGTGGGATTTGAGGTTCCAGGCTGGTTTTGGGGCTCCCCCAGGAGCTCCTGGACGGGTTTTGGTGGGATTTGAGGTTCCAGGCTGGTTTTGGGGCTCCAGCCTGCCGTACCCGTGAGCAGCTCGATCCAGGTCTGCACCGTCTCCGCGGGCTCGGTGGCCTTGATGTGCCGCAGGGTCTCGTCCAGGAGCACGTCCCCGGTGGGAGCGTCCGACTTCAGCAGCACCTGCCCGAGGCAAAGGGGATTGCTTTGATTCTTCATTTCATTTTTTACTTAATTTTTAATTTAATTTTTAATTTCATATCAATTTGATATTGATAAATTTTTTTAAATTTTTATGTAATGAAACATAACATTAAGAATTTTATAAAATAGTTATTCTGTATTCATTTAATATTAATAGAATTTAACGTTTTACTTAATAAAATAGAATATTATTAACTTAATAGAATAGTTGATAATAATAATGATAATAATGATAATAATGATAATGATTATGATGATGATAATAATAATGATAGTAATAATGATTATAATTATGATAATAATAATAATGATAATGGTAATGATGATGATAATAATAATGATAATTATGATGATAATAATAATGATGATGATTATAATAGTAATGATAATGATGATAATAATAATAATAATGATAATAATAATAATGATAATGATGATAATAATAATAATGATAATAATAATAATGATAATGATGATAATAATAATTATAATGATGATAATAATAATGATAATGGTAATGATGATGATGATGATAATAATAATGATGATAATGATGATGATGATTATAATAATAATGATGATAATAATAATAATGATGATAATAGTAATAATGATAATGATGATGGTAATAATAGTAATAGTAATAATAGTATTATTATTATTATTAATAATAATAATAATTCACTACAATAATTAATTAGTAATTTATTAAAATAATAATATTTTATTACAATAATTAATTAGTAATTTATTAGAATTATTATTATTAATAATGTATTAAAATAATCAATTAATATAATAATAATAATAATAATAATAATAATAATAATAATAATAATTTAACAATTTTCCCATTCCGATGGAACGCTGCACCTTCCTGTCCAGCAGGCTCCTGCGGCGCGCGGCGCGCGGCTCCAGGCGGATGCGCCCGCGCAGCGCCAGCTCGACGAGCGCGGCCCCGCGCAGCCCCGCCGAGATGCAGTCGTTCCAGAAGGACGTGTAGCCCTGCGCCGGCGGCACGGCATCGGGGAGCTGGCCCGGAGCCCGGGCATCTCCAGGGATCTCCAGGGGATCTCCAAGGGATCTCCAAAGGATCTCCAAGGGATCTCCAAAGGATCTCCAAACATTCCCACATTCCCTGCCCGGATCCTTCCCGAGCCCGCCCGGAGCCCAGGGGATCTCCAAG